ACACCACAAAAAACTCCACAAAACCCCCACAAAAAACCAGCACCAGCACCAGCACCCAGCCGTTGTGAGAAGGCACCCACTACCACCTGTCTCACAAGAACAGGAACCAGCTGACTGTGTGCTAGGACATGATACGAGGGGGGAGGGGGGGAGGAGGGGGAAATACTTTGATAATCTCTGACGACGGCCTCATTGACTCAATTTCGTAAATTTTGGAGGCGGGATGAATCGACCCCCCGCCCCCCCCCTTCCCTCCTTTGCGGGTTAAGGCCAACCCAGGAGGAATGGAATACAACATTAACAGCAGACAGACGGAAATACTACGTTCTATAAGATGATAAAAAAGGCTTCTATTTCTATCTGTATTGTAGGTACTTTTGAGATATTGGCCGTCAACGTTTGCAAATTTTAAAAGCAAAATCAGACAGAAACTTTTCTCATACACATATTATATTATGCTTAGGTATTTTTCTCGGAGCGGTGTATTCATACATTTTAGAACGAAACGCAGATCACCACATAGTGCACTGCAGATAGTACCCGCAACAAACCGTAACTGAAAACATCCACAAAACACGGAGAGAGTCCTTGTAATCTAATACGACGAAGAAATGTGTCACAGCATCGTGGAATCAGGCGCTCGTCAATTTTTCAGCATATGGTATAATTTTAGTTGGTACGGTCTCAAAGATTATTCATTTGTCTTGCTTTCAATGGAAAAATACCCATCTATCTTAAATTAAAGTCAAGATATGTATTTGCGATTGAAGGAGGTGAGGTTACCTGGTTTTAGTGGTGAACTTAGAGAGAAAATGGCTGCCAAAGTTTGGTACACGTATCTCCGAAAGCTAAAGAATAATGGAAAACTGAAAAATGACATATTTTGTGCCTGTAATCAACATTTTCAGTAAAATTTACACGGAAATGTGTTGGGGATTTTTTGGACATAAAAGGGATTGAGCCAAAAAAAAGCAAAACAAAAAACAACAAAATTTCGGTAATAATAATCGAAAGTGGTGGAAAAATGCCCATTTCTCCGATTTCGTTATTTTGACGAACGCTTGATTTCACCACATTGCCTCACAAATTCGATACCTTAGCCACTCGTGAATTGAATCCACGTCTCCTGTGTGCAAAGTGTTGAGAGTTTGTGTTTTTCTCGGAGAGAGAGAAAGTGACTTGCCTCTCTGCACCGCGCGGTTTGGCTTCAGAATCGTTAGGCACATACTGACGGAATGTGTCGACTTCAAAGATATACGCATAAAATACTTCTGATGTAAAGATGTCAAAATTCTTTTTGACACCGTGGTTCCGAGAAAAATTTTGAGTTTTATAAAAGAAATGGGATTGTTTAATAGGGTACAAAAATGTATTATTGTGGTCGTCAGTGTATATACATACACTGACATTAATATTGTAAATACCAAGGTAAATAAGTCTATACCATAATATTTACAACGATTTTTAAAAATGTCTGTCCGTCCTTTCAACATGATGATGGTATGACGTATGCAGTTGCGAGCGCCGTAAAACTCTTACTAAAACATAACTTGATGATAGATTTGTTGCAGTAAAACTTGTTGGCACTTACATAACCAAAATTGAGTCGATAGTGCCGTAAAACACCTAGTCAATCAATCAATCAATCAATCAATCAATCAATCAAAGCTTCAGGAGCCCCAAGTACCGTCATCTATGGTGTAGCAGCTAGGCGTTTCGCTGTCGCATGAAGAAGACTCGAGTTCGATTCCTGCGTGTGGTGGATTTTTATCGAGTATCTCGGTTTTCTGCTAGGGCGGGTTGCCCTTAAGATAAGATAAGATAGTACTTTATTATCCCAGAGGGAAATTTTCCTTGACTGTACAGGACCGTAAAAAAAACATGCAGGTATACATTTTAAAAAATTAAAATCATATTATTATACATTACTCTCATTAAAATTCAATATGAAAGAAGTAAAGCTGACAAATTGTACACTTACACCAAAAGCATCATTCAACCACATGCGGGAATTTAAATACTAGACCTTTGGAGTTATATACTGATACATACTCTAAGAGCAACACACATCTATGCTCATTCTGATACATACTCTTTAACTGGAAGGATCGAAGGCCGCCTTCTAAATTAAATGCTCAACTCATTGTTTCGGATAATTTAGGAGGCAGGCTTCTACCGTGTCTGTTCAGGCCAACTCGGGATTAGAGGGATGCAACATCCCAACAGAAAGACCAAGCTACTCGGAAAGCACAAACTATCCTCACACAGGAACTTGACTCGTCTTCCGCGTGAGTCGGCGAAGCACCTAACCTCTACACAACTGACGTCGGTCTTATACTACAAAGGCTCTACTTACATCATCATCATCATCATCATCATCATCATCATCATCATCATCATCATCATCATCCTCATCCTCATCCTCATCATCATCATCATCATCGATGTTGTAAGTACATTCGATAATAAGATACAAAAAGTTGGCGGTGACTTGAGCATTTGAAGTTCTTTGGCATTATAAAATACAACGTTTCTCCCTTAATTCTGCAAGAAAGCATTACATTTTTTCCTTTTTCTATTTTCTCCCCCCCCCCCTTTCCCCCCGGAAAAAAATCTTCCTCTTTGCACCCCCCCTCCCCCACCCCCCTTCCAAGATGGTCACAAAAATTCCAGGAGCAAGTATACAGAAACAACCCAGCAATCCTGTCCTGATATCTGAGGTCTACCACTCTTCATACAACGCTGGGAAATTGGAAATGGCCACCACCGCCCCTCCCCTCGTAAAGACTGCACTGCTGTCTACTTTATTTTTAAAAAACAACCCAACCCTAACAAACTACCGATGTGAAGCATAATATGTCTGAACAGCAAGGAAACTGCGAGCCATGTGAAGGAAGTCCTCAGCAACCCAGTTAATAGTCATGTTGGTCGAGTTCACAGTTTCTTTCTCAATACAGTTCTAGTTCAGAGCCGTGGCACGTGTGTGTATATCGGCTAAGTAGCTGTATCTATAAATACAGGTTTAACCATTTCACCATTTCACCATTTATATATCCATAGATTGTACATTAACTCTTTCATGGGAGTTTTAAGTTGCGGTAACTTAGCTAAAATTACTAAATTCCGATAATTTTATATACAGTGAGTATGTATTATATAGAGATCAAGATATCAAAACTGACTTGGATAATGAAACAAGTGCCACTTCTCACTGAGGTCCGGGCCAAGAATCGCACGATGGCCTCTGTCAGCTGGTCTCGAGATCACAACGTTTTCTTTGCCATAACCCAGTCCTTCCATCCGATCGTTCCTCACGAACACCTTTTGTTTTAACGGTGATCTTAGCAATAGTATTTATCTTTAAAGCGTTTGATAATAATAATAGTAATAGTAATAATAATAAAGAAACATAATTGACACCTCATGTCTCTGTCTGAACTCTGTGATGATTTTCGTTAATTAAGCAAAAGATGAAATATTCAGTGGCGGTGAATAGGTCAGATTGTGGGTCGGGCTCAGAGATGGGGGAAGGTTGAGTTCAAAGGTAGCATTTCCTCGGTTCAGAGGAAAGTCTAGATATGAATGCGTTTTTATGTTTGTGTGCGTATGCTTTTGAGTGTGTGTATGTGTGTCCTACACACACACACACACACACACACACACACACACACACACACACACACACATACTCACACACACACACACACACACACACACACTCACACACATGCAGGCAAACAACAGTAACTGGATAAGGCGGTGTGGTCGCAGAAAGCAAGACATAACTAACGAAGACCCGAGGAGCTTGTTGGTTACTCGGTCTCTGGAGAAAGTGTGTCATGAACTTTCATCACATTGCCAGGGCTTGCAGAGAACGAGATCTCTTTTAATAACAGTTTTCCTTAGCTCTCTTTTATTTCTTTTATGGTTTTATAAAAAGGGTTTCATTAAGAGAGGACCATGGGAACGATCTCATCCTTGCTGGGACCTAAAGCCAGTTGACTGGCTGTTAAACATATCAGGTTACTATCGTTGCAAACGATGAAAACAGTGATTGGATAAACGAATAAGAACGTGTGTTCACTGCATGCAACTAGAGGCGGAAGATTCTGAAGCAGCCTTACGGGCTTCACTTGATTATTTCGTTAACGATGACACATTTATTTACGTATTAAGGAAAGAGTTGTGGGTAGGGATGGGTTGGACTCAAGCTCCTCAGCCCTTCACTTCGTACTGCCGCTGGAACTATTACGTACGGCTTTCTTTTCAGCAACAGATGGTCGGACGTTTCTTTGGAAAAGGAATAATTAATATGACATTTTACGTTAACGCCGCGTTTTTTTTTTATTTTGAGAATTTTGAAAAAAAGCAATAAAACAACATTTACAACAACAGTGATCGAGAACAAAACAACAACAGCAGCAGCAGAAGAAACAGCAACAACAACAACAACAACAACAACAACAACAGCAGCAGCAGCAACAACAGTACAGCAACAACAACAACAAAAACAACAACAGCAGCAGCAACCAGCACCACCAGCAGCAGCAGCAGCAGCAGCAGCAGCAGCAGCAGCAGCGGTAATAAAAATGAAGCCTAACGGTCATACAGCATCGCCAACAAAAGGATAGACTGATGAACAGAAACAACAGAGAAATTGAAATAGACAAAGAACTGAGACCATTGGTGCTCTCCAACCACCCGCCACAGACAGCAACGACACAGGAATAGAATAGAAAAAAGGCCTTCTGCTAGAATAGTGGAGATTGTAATTGTCCTTTGACACACTTTGTGTTTCGTTCCCATTAACGTTAATTAATATTGTATATGAGGTGGGCTGTTTCATCGACGTCTCTCGCTTAGAGCCAAACCGGGCTGAGAGGGATACAACGTTCCAGCAGTCAATGAGAGATACTCGATAAAAAATACCCCCAATCCATACCTGAATTCAACCCTCACCTTCCGCAGGAGACAGCGAAGAGCCTAACTGATGCGCCACAAACATTGGTTAACTTGATTGCCACTATAAGAACTTGGATGTATGTGACAGGGTAGTAGTAGTAGTAGTAGTAGTAGTAGTAGTAGTAGTAGTAGTAGTAGTAGTAGTAGCAGTAGTAGCAGTAGTAGCAGTAGTAGCAGTAGTAGTAGTAGTAGTAGTAGTAGTAGCAGTAGTAGTAGTAGTAGTAGTAGTAGTAGTAGTAGTACTAGTAGTAGTAGTAGTAGTAGTAGTACTAGTAGTAGTAGTAGTAGTAGTAGTAGTAGTAGTAGTAGTAGCAGCAGCAGTAGTAGTAGTAGTAGTAGTAGTAGTAGTAGTAGTAGTAGTAGTAGTAGTAGTGATAGTTGGCGGGACTTCTTGTGTGGTGTGCTCCTTCTTTCCGTGCCGTAAAACCCTTAATAAAAATAAAATTAAGAGCATACGCCAACCACCCCAGCGCTAGATCTATTCATTACTAAGATATTTAAGGTAAAAAGACCCAAAGGACAAATAAGGTATTCAGTTTGAGTCAAATAAAAAGGAAGGTGCCGCGCGCACTAAGACTTGTCTATAGTAAGAGTAAGACTGGTGTTCTGGTGTTTTGTCCGTCGCCGCTATTTTGGGTGGGTTGAGGGTGTCAAGGGAACCCTGAGAAAACATAATATCACAGCTGAAAGAGCTGTGGAGCTGGCCTACCATAGAAAACTGCATCTATCCTCGACGCTCAGCGGCAACAGAGGATGAAAAAGTAAAAGTAAAGTCAATCAAGTCAGGGGCCGTGTGGCGTCAGTGGCGGCGGGTGGACCAAAATGTGGGTGGGGCTTTGTTTGCTTCCAGTTCTTTACCACCAGATAGCAAGCAATAAGAATTAAAACAGTGATGATTTTTCTATACTCACGGTGAGCCATGGTATTTTCAGAACCTTTCAAACGAGAAGAGTTGCTTTTGTTTTCCATCTCTTTGTTCTTAGTTAAATTCTTGTTGATGGTGGGGTCGAAGCCCATTCACCTCCAGATTTCCTCTAATTAGTTTTCATGTGATGAAAAAGTTGCCTTGAAAGTAGTTCGACCTGATTCATAACTGATCTCAGCAGCACAAACACAAACATGCACACACAGCACTTCAAACATAATACTTCTATGAGCTGGATTAGGCCGTGTAGTCGAGAAAGTTGAACGCACCCAACAAAGAACCAATGAGCGCATAGGTATCTGTGTCAGTGGGGGAAAGTGTGTCGTAAACGTTCACCCCATTGTCAGGGCTAGGAGAGCGTGAGCCCTCGGTCCAGTGTTAGTTTTCCCCAGTCTTCTCCCTTTTTACAAGAAGAGTTTCATTAAGGACGGGCTGTGGGAAAGGGCTCATCTTCACTGAGCCCTAAAGACATTTGATTGGCTGCTCGGTTACTATAGTTGTAAGCGGTGACAACAGTGATTGGATAAGCGAGCAAGCCGCCTAGTTGATCACTCTCTCTCTCTTCATTGCGTGCGGTCATAACGGTTTCAACTGTTTATTTCATTATGGAGAAACTTTTATTTACTTTGGGATAGAGTTGGGAGTGGTGGGTGGGGAGGGGATAGGGGCTCAAGCCCGTGAGCCCTTCACTACCCACCGCCACTGTGTGGCGTACGCAACACATAGATTCTGTGACAGAGAGTATAGGTCCCACCCTAAACACAGCAGACATCACCCCTACTGCAAACTAAACAGAGCAGACCATGTCACAATCTTTAGACTCCGTTGTGGCCACAACAGACTCAAACACCATATGCACACTAAATTAAAAGTGGGAGAGTCAGCGATCTGTGAATGTGGACACGACCAAGAGGATGCCAACCATATCCTTCAGCACTGCCCGTGTTATGTCACACTTCGTACCCAGACGTGGCAGAATGTGGCTCCCCTTGAGAGAGAGCTCTATGGCAGTATCTCAGAGTTGAAGCGAACTGCACAGTTTGTGCGCGACATCGGACTGACTGTCTAGCTGCTGTCATCGAGAACGAGGAAGAAGAAGAAGAAGAAGAAGAAGAAGAAGAAGGCAAATGCACTGTTCGGGAGTACTGTACAGATCTTTGCCCTTGTACAAGCCGAACAGACTGAGTCGTAACAAGTAAACCACTTGTCTTAATGGTGTTAGGGTCTTATTTTTAGACCTACACTTCGTTTTTTACCTAATGCCTGTCGGTCTTCAGGCCGCCTTAGACCTGTCAGGTAAACCTGGAGGGCCCTTTACTTGCAGGTAGTTTCACCTTTCAGTAGCGCACGCTTAGCAGTGAAGTTATTGAAGAAAGCTCAGGGCGGTGATCACGGCAGTGCTCAGTCTGAGATGAAGGGTGTGTGACTATGACACGTTGTGAGAATGGGTCTACAACAGCCGGCCTCAAACTCCAAGGCCTAGAGTATGAGACATGATGGCTTCAAAGCAAAAGGAAGACCAAGAAAAAGATGGATCAAGTGAGTATTTTAAAAAAGACCCCCCTCCCCCAAAAAATAAATTTTAAAAAAAAATGTGTACATTATGTGTATATATAATGTGTATATAATAAAATATAAAATGATTTTTAAAAAAAACAAACAAAAAAACAAAACACAAATTACAATAAACAAACAAAGGAAAGGAAAAAACCAACATGACGACCTTAAAAAAAAAGTAAAAGGCAATACACATTACACGTGACCCACGGCCGGAAATTACATCTTCCCTTGGCACCTTGCGGTAAACGACGAGAATTAAAAATAGAAAAAGTTACGTATAGGCAAAGATAGTAAATAACAAGATGGGCCACTCAGCCAAAAAAGTGTCCGCAGGAAGTATGCTCTTTGCTTCAGATGGCGCTGCAGTCTGTTTTGAAGCTCTCTTTCGTTTTTCCAGAAGAAGAATAGGAATAGCACCTCCTTGCGTGCGCAGATCGACTGCTGTTCATCAGCAGTTCGGGTTCGTTCAGTGCGGAGTTTTAGGTTATTTATATGTTAATGACCTCTCGCCTTTCATTCTAAAGTCAAATTAAACGAAGAAAACAATCACCCTTTCCTCCGGGAGAGGTTTTTTTTTGTCAGCGTAACCATTTTAAAAAAACGTTCTTCCGAAATTCATTCAAAAATTTGCTAGTTTCACTTTGATTTTTTAAAACTCAAGTAGGATAACTCTGTTCGCAAAAGGTGCGCTTTTGCGAAGAGGGCGCCACCGAATTTTGAGGACACTTTTTTAATTGGCTCAAAGAGAGAAGTGGCCCCTCTTGTTATGTAGACTCATTGGTATAGGCCTATAGATTCTTGAACTTTGTATAGCGGTCGCTATTTTCCTGCGATAGATGGACGTCAGGAAAAATTCACACTTTGGCTAATTTTGTTATATCATTTTTATCATCTACGTCAGCACCAGAAGCAGCAGACGGTAGATCTTAGCAAGAAACGTAGCCTACATCAAGGAGTATCGGTGAACAGCGA